GATCTATTTCATGGTTTTCATGATGATGACGATGAAGAAGCGGATGAATATGTTGATTTCAATAATCCATATCGAACAATGGACAAAGATGATGACATCTCTGATGTGATTGAAATTCAAGGAACAGAAGAAGAAATAGAACGACAATTATCAACAACTACTGAACCTTCACAATCATCATCGTCATCATCATCAGTTTATCAAAAATTTGAACGAATGTTTCGACCAATCGTCGATAAAGTACCTCATGTGTTTAATATGAAACATCTCTATCAATTGGTTATTCTTCAACATCAATTAACCTTTATTCAATTGAATATTAAATTGTGGACAGCCTATTTATATTCGGGTACAGGTCGATTACTCAATCAAGAAGAACAAGCAACAGTAATGATACATACTATGCCAAATATTTGGCCTGAAGATGTGAAAATAATGATGATTGAGAAACGAATAACAACAGCAAAGAATACCAATGAAATCAGTGATAACTATTGTCTTAATTATGTTCAGCAAACTCTCCGTGAATTTCAAGAACAAATAACTCGTTATCAGAATGAATTGGATATGAAACAAACTGATGTAGATGTGACATATTGGACATCAGCAATCAAACAAGCAATGGAGAACTTTGTTGAACAACAAGGTATCAAAGCACATCGATTACGTATTGAAGGAAAACTTCTTCTCATCAAATATGATTATAGAGATCGATGTCTTGAACTAGCTTTTCAAAACGAAAATCCAAATGAATCTCAAGTAAGAGTTTTTACGTTCTTAAGATATATCCATTTTTGTTTCTACTATAGATGAAAAAATTTCGAAATCTTATTCAAACTAAATTTGATAAAGAAAAAGCTATTTGTGAAGTAGCTCTATTGAAGCAACGTCTTCTTTACAGATGTTTACCAGAAACGATTGCTAATATACAATTACCTGCACCAATATCATTAGCTAGTATTCAGAATGAAAAAACTCGTCAACGTCTTATAAATCGACATGAAAAGATTGTCGAACGAACAAAATCTGATATGATACATGTCTATGTTATAGTTGCTGAAATACAAATGAATGAATATACAATGAAATTTGATACAGATATGGCTCAAATGGAAAAAGATCAACGTACTGCTCTTGATCATGAAAAACTCAATGAACCCATGTTAAATATTATCAAACAACGTCTTCAAAACATCGATGAACGTTTTCGTTGTTTACACCAATTAAAATTACATTTTTTTCGAGCAAACTCCGACAACCAAGAACTAGATTTGATTCATCATCGGAGCATTGATATACTATCAAACAAATCTACTAAGAACTCTTGTGCACCAACGCTGATTCAAGATGCTATTCATTATCTTTCAAGAAAAGAATTAGCATTTCTTCATCGTGGTCCAACTTATGTTTCACCATGTCAATTACATGATCCTTCATCACCAATTATCTTTGATCTTGCACTAAACAAACACATAGCACCACTTCAACAACAACTTACCAAACTATTTACAAAACATAATGTTAATTTCACTTGTCGCTTGGCTTTTGAAAAAGCCGTACGTAATCAATTTATTCGCTCATTTTCTGAACCTATACCAACATCAGTGAAAGTACGTGCATCGAATGAAAAAAAACTTATTCAATCAATTCAATTTCAATTAAAACAAAATAATCTTATTCTACGACGAACAGCAGATGATCAAAATATGTATTATCTTGGTGAACGAGATGAATTTGATCGTATAGCCAATGAATTTATAGATAATACACTTTGTTATGAATGCATTACAGTTATAGATAATCAAAATAGTAATTTTGAACAAGAATATTTACATGAATTGATTCATTCCATTAATTCTGACTTGCAAAAATTGCATCAAAATCGAATCATTAGAAAAGATCATTTACCAAAGATCCAAATCGATAAAAAAGCGACGATCAGAATTCCACATCTTTATTTTCTTCCAGAAATACATCATGATGGCCATATAACACTACAACCAAGATTTACTTGTTCATCATCAAGCCAATATCCAATTCAACGATTAGCCACATATCTTGATCAAATAATACGACCATTATTTGAAAGTTATTCTCGATCTACCAGCTTTCGTAATGGTACTGATTTTATACAACAACTACAACATTATTGTGGTCAAAGCAATCGTCTTCTACCAACAACAAATTTTATTACATTTGAAATTCAACATTTTCATTATCGCGTATCACACGAAGCTCTTCGCCTAGCATTGAATAAATTTCTTCATCGTCCTGATGTAGAACAAATTCGACATGATGGTTTAACAGCAGATGCCGTTGAAAAATTAGTAGAATTCGTTTTACAGTATCATATTTTTATATACAATGGAAAAATCTATCGACATAGTAAAGGTGGTCCATTAAATGTACCATTAACAGAATTATTAGGTAATATCTATTTACATCAGTGGCATTTGCCACTCACAAGTGAAGTACGTCTTGCTGATCAATTCTATGGTCATTTTCATCATATGGGTTTTTTAACATGGCATGGTTCGAGAGACAAACTCAATAAATGTTTTAATGAACTCAATCAACAACATCCAGATATACCAGTCATTATTTCTGTTGGATTACATGTGAATTTTCTCAATGTTGATATTGAAAATCGTCAAGGTAATCTACATACATGTGTTTATCATGATCCAAATCAACAACCATTTCTATTACCCTATGCTATCAATTATCCACGAATATCACATCGACAATGGGTTCGATTTGCTCTTCTACGTGCTGGTCAATATTGTAGTTCATGGGATGATTTTCAAGATGAACGCATCTATATTGAATTAACTTGTTTAGCCAATGGTTATTCATTAGATTTTGTTGAATATCATATGGAACAATTCTTTACACGATTTCATCCAATGGACAGGGGTATTATTCTCAATCGATGGACATATCCTACGTTTCGTACACGATTATTTACTTATATGCGTGAACAACAACAACGACAATTAAAGAACAGTCCTTCTTTCATTCAATTAAGTTATCTATTTGATTGGGGTTCACGATGTGAATTCAATGAGAAATTCGATCGATTATGGTGGCAAATACTTGGGTTCGATACAAATTTTAGAAAATTAAATTTAAGAGTAAAACTTATTTCTAAACATTGTTATCCATCCAATGCTTACTTCTTTCCATAAATGAAATTCATGCATGAATTTTTCTCTCTTTTTTTTATTCTAGATTATTGTCTAGTTTTCTCAGTTAACTATCTATGGCTGAACGACCATCATTACCAGTCTCAGTTAATGAATCACTAATGGCAGTTCTCAATGAAATAGGTGATTGTGACATCAACTTTGAAAGTCATGAATTACGTTCATCATATCCAAATACCGTTACAATATCAGATGTTCATGAAATAAGTACAATTGATGAAGAATATCAAATACGAACATTAGGCCAACATAATATGGCTAGAATGTCGATTTTACCAACTTTTCCACCGAACGTTTCTCAATCATCGCCAACAATAGCAAATTTGCTCTTAGCAAATGTGTCACGTATGAAATTCTTTATTTAGAATTTTCTTCTTATTCTTTCACTTACAGTTGTATCATTAACGCAAGAGCAATATGAGCGTGCTCATTTTTATCGTTTTCCTAAATTATTCAAATTGAAAATGAATCTTGACCATACTCAAGTGAAATCAAATGATGATCATCAAACAAGTTTATGTAATTCATTTCTGTTATGTTTCTATGACAATCTTTATAGGAAATTAAAGAAACGCTTAAACGTGGGTACATCTATTCTTGATTTCAATTTAACACGTCTTCGTCAATGTATTGATAAAGTCGTTGAACAACGTGGTCAGCGACAAACAATGCTTTCTATCGATGAATTACCTTTAGCATTGGAATTCTATTTACAAATTGATGGTAAGTTCATTCTTATTGATCTAGATAGATATAGTAAAACAAAAATATTGTCAATATTTAGTTGACATGTTCTTTCTCAAAACATGTTCATTCAATGGTGTACAATTACGGCAATTCGAAGATCGTATTCTTGAAGGTCTCTTCTGTTTGGATAAACCAGAAGCAAGATTTGTTATGAAACCTTGTAATAAATCATATTGTCATTGTTGTCATTCACCATGTCCACGTCGTAATTTGGTCAATACTAAACAAAGAAAAGCAATTCAATTTTCTACACCACATATTCATCGTTTTGTGAATCAATATGAAGCTATTTTGAATTGCCCAGCAGTATGTATAATTCATAGTTTAATGTGAACAATACTCTTTTATATATATGTAGACATGTGAAAGTAATAATTGTATCTATGTTTTAACATGTCCTTGTGGTCAAGTTGATTTTATTGGTTCAACTAAAGAACAATCATTTGCTGAAATAATGGCTCGTAAGTTTTATTTTTCTCTAGTTCGAATATATTTACATATATATATTCTTATTTAGTTCATCGAGAAGAAGGCAATCGTATCATACGAGAATGTCTCGTTGGTCAACGTAATATCAATCTTATTACAAATGGTTTCAAATCTGAAGAGTAATAATTCATTGATTAACTGAAAATATATTGAATTTTATTCATTACTAGACAAAAACTGTATGATAAACTGTGGCTCTATCAACATTCATCACGTTGTCCAGATGCTTTACAATTATTTTTGGATTACAATCCTGCTTATTGGTGTTTTGTACCAATGAAATCGATGAAGATCAACATGACCTATACACCTATAGAACAGGCATCATTTGTTTGCGCTTCAAATGAAACATCCTGGAGTCGTACGGATGACGAAGTTCTTTTATTAATAGAGAATCTACCAAAACCACTATTAGATTTTCAATTTTCCGCTGATCAATATCAACAACAGACACATTTCTTTAAATCCTTACAAGATTTTAATGTACCACGTGATCATGTTGATCTATACAATGCTGATATTATTGCAATCTGTATGTATATATAAATATTTCCTTCATTGAATTATTCCTATTCTATATTATTTAGTACCAGATAATTGTTCGGAGCTCTTTACAGAACTCATTGAATCTCTCTTGATTACACATGCAGAATGTAAATTAAATGAATTTGGTCATCTCGTCTATGAACCTTCTGATCCGAATGGTGATCTACATGATTCTTGGTGTATTAATTTAATACGTCGTCATTCACAATTACTTATATGAACAATGACACTCTTTTTTTTCCTTTTCATTCTATCATTTATCTAATCAAGCATTTATTTTATTTTGCATGCTCAAGTGATTAGTTCTCTTTCATTTATTTCATCATTTAATTCTAGATTTGTTCACGGCTCATCATAATCGAAGAATGCAATTGACAAATCATTCAAATTTATGGGATGATTCAGATGAAGAAGACAATCGTTCATCAGATAGTGACGTTATTGAAATTAGTCCTACGACAGAACTTCCAATTTCGTCAAGTGTTACTACGCGCATCGTAAGAAATTTACATGATCAACAACCATCTCATAGACCAGGAGCATCAGCATCACCGGTATTAATACTACAATCATCTGGAAGATCAGCACAACAACAACAATCATTATCTTCGTCATCGGCAAGATCAGCACAACAACAACAAATACAATCATTATCATCATCTGGAAGACCAGCACAACAGCAACAATCATTATTATCATCATCGGCGAGACCAGCACAACAACAACGACGAAGAGCAGTGATACCGTATGTACCACTTACTTTGAAGCAAAACAGTGGACGATATCATATTTTACCGGCTTTTCCAACAGTATTCTTCGTTCGTCATCCACCTTTACTATTGCCTAATGTACCGGGTATGGTTAACAAATTTTATCAGATTCATAATAATCTAATCATGTTTTTTATTTACATGTATAGAATATAAACTTAATGAAGAACAATTGGCACGACGTGAAAAAGATGTTTATCCACTGGCATATACTATCAATGAAACGAATTCTGAAATACCATCATATTTTCGTATTGAATATCATTCGTTCATAACTTCATCGATTAATAAATATCATGTTGATGGAGCCATTATTGATTACAATCTAGATCGTATGTTAGTATGTTTCCGTATATTTGCTGAAGATTGTATTAGACGTCTTAAAAATAAACCTGAACAATTTATTTTAAATCATATACAAAAACAAATTGCTCTGGAATTTTATTTACAATTTGACGGTATGTTTTTTTTTCCTTTATCAATAAATATATCGTCTATTTTGATGATTGTTTTTAGTGGATGTTTTCTTCATGAAAACATGTTCATTTCGTGGTGCTGAACCACGTTCAGCTGATGAAGGCCTTTTCTGTCGTGATGAGCCCGATGCTCGTTATGGTCTATTCGCATGTGGCAGATGTCCACTGTGTAAACCATTACACAATACTATGCGTTATCGACAACAACCTACAATTCGATTTTATGCAGGTTATACACATCGATTCCTTAATGGATATAAATCGATACTCAACTGTGATGCAAATTGTAAAACACCAAATATTATCTATGTGATGACTTGTCCATGTGGTAAATTCGAATATATTGGTGAAACAGGACAACGTCTTAATGATCGTCTGTGGTGTAAGTTTTTGAACTCGAGAAACATATAAATCAATCTATTATTTAAAGATCATCGTAAACATGCGAATCGAATTATTCATGAATTTTTAATTGGTGAAAGAAATGTTGAATTGACTCGAAATAAAGTCAAAGATTTTGAGTAAGTTAAAATTAAATTAAATCTCTTTTAGAATATAATTTTGTTTTAAATTCTTTCTATATAGAACAAATGTGAAAGATAGAATGCTCTTGTATAAACATGCAGCTCGATGTCCATCGACTATTCAAACATTTCTCAATTTCAATCCAACCTGTTCATGTTTCGTACCTATTCCAATCAATGAAATTGATCCACAAGATGAATGTTATAGCCTTCCACCATCATTAATGTTACTCGATCGTGTTCATCCAACTTCAATTACTCATAAAGATAAGAACGCGATAACAGCAACACTTAAGACACGTGCTGATGAATCAGTACGAACCTGTATGCGAAATTTACCATATCCACCTAAAGGTTTTAGCTTTTCCAGACGTCAACGTGTAGAACAATTTCAATATTTCAAAGCTAAAAAGGATATACTACCTAAACTAGATCAATCAGTTAATCTATTCAATGTTTCTATCATTGCTGTTTGTAAGTGTTAACCAATTTCATATTTCAAAATTTTTAAGTAATTGATTTCTTTCTCTGTTATTATTATTGAAGTACCACTGGGTGTCTCAGAAGTTGTTCGACGATTTATCGAAGCTCTTTTTATTACTCATACAGAAGCTAAATTGAATACATTCGGTCGACTTTGTCATGATGATGACGACGACGACCACAACAACAACAATGAGAAGAATCATGTAAACAGTAATACAGTTCTTGGTCGTGGTTATTGGTGTCGTAACATTGTTTTTCCTCATTAATATTAATGGTGATCAGTAGTTGTCACTATTCACATCTTAACATATATAATCGAACTATAAATTGCATGTTATTCTATTCTTCTTTCCTTATTGTTAATCAAGATTTGCATGAGAATTAAAGAAATCCAGCATTTTGTTTTTTCTTTGCTTTCTAGATAACATTTTTGTATTTTATTGAAAATGGAAATGCATCAATCACAACAAATCGATTTTTGTCGAGATCTTTCCTTATCAACAAAGAACGATGATGAACAGAATAGTTCCATGCAATCATCGATAGAAAAGCAACAAATTCAACCTTTAAAATGTTCAAATCCTATTATGAATCGTCTATCTCTGTTACCAGCTTATCCAACATTTGATCGATTTGGACCTATTAATCGAGATCATTTACTTTTAGCAAATGTATCTTGTCAAGAATTAACCCATGAACAACAACGACGTCGTAATCATTATACATTTCATCAACCATTTACTATTATTGATCAAAGTGTTGATATTAGTGTTCGACCATTCTTTATCTATATCTATCATCATTTATATGAAGATTTAGCACAACGTTTTCATGTTAATAATGCTATTCTTGATTATAACTATGAACGTCTTCGTCAATGTCTAAATATTATGACACAAGAACGAATTCAATATGATTATTTGTCTGAGACTACTATTGGTAGTGAAAAATTACGTATCGATGAGTATGCTCTAGCATTAGAGTTTTATCTACAAATTGATGGTATACAGTTTTTTGTTTCCTATGATCATATGATTATGTATGTATTTTAGATGAATTATTTTTTATGAAAACATGTTGTTTTCGTAATGCTCAACCATCATTATACAATCATCATGGTATCTTCTGTATTGATGAACCAAAAGCTCTCTACGGTCTAAAATCATGTGAACAAGTTACATGTCGATTTTGTTTTCCCATCACCGATATTCTTACTCGTGGTCGACAAAGTCAACCAGTTGTTCAATTTTCATCAGCACAAAAACATCGTTTTGTCAATGGATATGAAGCTATTCTTAATTGTCCAGCGGTAGATATCATCATACGTGTAACTTTTTAATCTCTTTGATTTATTTAGACTTGTACTACAAAGAATATCATCTATGCATTGACATGTCCATGTGGCCAATATGATTATATTGGATATACAGCAATGTCATTAGATGAACAACTTAAATGTTAGTATATTTGATTTTTAATAAATGATAGTTATTTTCTATATATATATATATAGATCATCGTGAGCATGGTAATCGGATCATGCATGAATTTATTCTTGGTTCAGTCAATAGTAGTCGTATGCGACAACAAACTAAATCACAAGAGTAATTAAATTCTTTTCGATATATATCTATTTTATTATACATACATTAATTTCAGAGAATTAACAGTTGATAATCAATTACTTTACAAACATTCAGCTCGTTGTTCATATGCTATTCAAATGTTTCTGGATTGTAATCCACAATATTGGTGTTTCGTACCGATGTCAAAGATGGAAGCACGAACACAAAATCTTACATCTGATTTCCCAAGTAATATTACAATGTTTCCATCGAATATTCATTCACGTCGTGATCAAGAAGCTAGTACATACATGATTGATTTACCTTTATTGCCATCAGAAAACTATACGTTTTCGACATATCAACGTACTCAACAATTTTGTATGTTCAAAGAGAAATATGATCTTCTTCAGCCTAACGTTCATCTAGATCTGTATAATGCTACCATCATTGCTGTTTGTAAGTCAGTCTATTAGATACCATCTAGTTCTTTGTGTATTATTTATATTTAGTACCGGAGAATTGTTCCGAATTATTTTATCGATTAATCGAAGCATTATTCATTACACATGCTCAAACTAAATTAAATACATTGGGTCATTTAGATGGTATGATTGTTGAAAATAACAATTGTAATGATATAAATGCACGCATGGTTGATGATCGTCGTGGTAATTGGTGTCAAAATCTTGTTCGTCGTCCTAGCATGTTGCATGAGACACGAAAAAGAATGAATCCTCGCCTCAATCCTCATTTCCAATAATAAACATTATTTTTCTTTTTCATTTTCTATTTGTTTCGCTTATCTTATCTTATCTTATCTTCTATTGTAGATTTTGGTTATTATTTAGTAAAATGTCAACTGATAAACCAGATCTGCAAGAAGGTCAACCACATGATCTGATCCTTTCCACGGCAGAAGAAGTCATACAGACGCAAGAAGAATCGAAGAAGAACAAGAAAAAGAAATGTCGTGGTAATCGTAAACTACAAAGGTTTAGAGCAAAACTGAGACGACAAGGATTGAATAATGAAGCAATTACAACAGTAATAAATACATACAATAATCCATCTCGACCTGAAGAAGAAGAAAATGTACAGAATACTGATGTGAATGTACAAGATTTTATTGAATTACATCAACAGGTAGGATACCTCTCTTTTCGTATATTTTTTTCAAATAAAAAAGTAACATCATAGGCACAGGAAGAAGTACA